ATTATAGTTACATGTTACTGGGAAATTAAGTGAACTGATAAATCTAAAAGTGCTCACAAAATAAGTGAAACATATTTTAACTACTATTGTTTACTCAATGATGGCTCATAGGCCATGACAGCTTTTAATTAGCCTGTCAACCCAAATAATAGCATAGTTTATGCAGGTCATCAGCCTCAGAGGGGTTTATTTCACTCCTCTTTATATTAAAATTTGTTATTTTCATTAGAACTTATTCCTCCCTCTAAGGAATCCTTTCTGCCAGTGCCTGTCACCTCTACACATTATTCTTTATGTGTTTTATATGTGTTACATGTTTTGAATGTGTTCCCTTTTTTTAAACAATGTGATATAATAATTCCACTTTAGTGACCTTGAATCCATTCCATGAGTCTGTGCTATACAGATGAGGATATTGTAACTATTTTAGATATACACTTAACAGAAACTATGGCATATAACCTGATACCTCGGTTATATATTTCTACTTTACCCCCTTATAGCCAATATTCATATGTAACCCTTTTCTAGATGATGACTGATTGAAATTACTAGACCATATAAATACAAGTATGACCATACGTTGCTTTTAAGAATAAATGATCGCCCAGTAACGTGGTCTAAGTAAAATGTTCTCTTTTTTAATTATGTAGTCCTCGCCATCCTCATCACAGCCTCATTCTAGCCACTGCAGAACGAAGCCCTCATCATTGTGTCACCATGCATCCCTGCCCTGGGTCAAACGTAACCATGTAGGCCCTGCAAAGGCTACCAGTCCATCTCTCCGTCTTCGTCGCTGGCGACCCTTCTTACGCCTACCATCTTTGGGTCTCCATTCTGTTGTAAGTGTAGTCAATCTTCCATCTCTTCTTCCAGTGACAAGGGCTGTCCATTTTTCCCCTTAGACTTCTTCAGTCTTCATAGTACTTTTCTCTTGGTTCACTCAGCCATTAGCTTTTCTCCCCCAGTAAGATTGCCATATACCTCTACGCTTTGCAGTCCAGCTTGACTCTCACAGTGCTTTGGTGACCATCCATCTTTTCACTCCATAGCCTGCCAACATAAAGGTGCCTGCCTTTTGATGAGTACTGATTGACATTTTTGATAATGTTTAAGTTCCTGTCAGATGTTAAAGTGTATTCTCCTATCCTTCATCTTTCCCATTACATTTAGTTGACTCAGGTCAACAAATGCTGTGTACCTTCTGAGTTCTTTGCCATCTATTACTTTATTTTTTTCATGTTTCTGATGACTTTAGGCTCTTGTTGTGCTCTGGGTCACTTTACTAACTCTCTCCTTAATCTAATCCTTCATGGTGTAGGGTATTTCATCTAAGCTGTTTTATTCCCTGAGGTGGCTCAGGTATTTGGTTTAATCTTGATCCAATCTTCCCTGCCTATTCAATTTCTAAAGGTCTTTTTTTCCAAGTAAGAGGTGAAGATTTTCTCTTTGTGAATTGATGTAGGTTTCCCACAAATTTCATGATTTCTCCTTCTTAGGTTGATAATGTTAGCAAATGATTTAAAAGTAGTTATTCTTATAAGAATCTTGTTAATTATTTTAAATGTTGAGGTTGATGATGGAATTCTGATATTTCTCCTAATTAAAATAGATTGCAGGATTAGACAATTACAGCTTTAAAAAAAAAAAATGTTTGAAACTGAATGGCAATGATGTGGTTTGGCAGAGCCTCCCTAGAAATGCTGTATCTTAAATATTTGGCATATGGCATACATTTATAAGAAAATGGACACTTTAATAAATAATCCAAACTCAAGGCCATAGGAAGTCTGATTACATATACATTTAATGCTTTAAAAAATTTAAAAATTGATGTCAAACATTCTTTCCTCCCCCTTATTTACTCTTCCAGAGCTAAACTTGAACTGTAAAGTGGAGTCTTGGCACTTTTTCCTTAAACATCTGCTTCCACCAAATATCAGTATGGTCATCAAAATAACTTCATTTGTGCTGAGACTCAACACACTGTTGTCATGCTGTTTCATTATCCTCATTGGGTCATAATATACATTTATCATTTTTATTCATTTATCCATTTTAATTTTGCTTCCTTACTGTGCTGTATATAATCTGGCACAGTAGGAGATACAAGGTGAATTAGATGATCAGAGTAAAACCTTAGTTTTGTAAATTCTGGACCTGTGCACAATTGATCTAATTCTATATATGAATAAATTCCTTTGTATTTAAAGCATTTTCCTAAATATAAATGAACATGTCATAAACGTTGACATTTCTAATTTTATATATTTTCAGTGGTGATATTTGTTCCATTTAATTCATTGCTTTATAGCTTTCATACCTTAATAGTAAAAAATATGAGTTCTAGAACCACACTGCCTGAGTTGGAACCAGATTTCATCACTTGAAAGATGTGTGATCTACACATGTTAAGGCTTCCGTGACTCAGTTTTATTGAGAGTAAAATGAATGTAGGTATTTAACAATCTCTTAGGGTTTATATGACAATTAATTGGCCAATACCTATAAAGTACTTAGAACAATGCCTGGTATATATTAAGTGCCATACAATTATAAATTAAATTTAAACTATATTTTTTATAATGTGAAATTTACATTTAGTATTTAATGTCTACCTTATTGATTTATTATATCATTTTTTAATTCTTTGCCATATTAAGTGTTATATTCTAAATAGGGGACTTTGTGAAAAAAGAGCATGTAGAAATGTAGGTTTTTTTACCTTAGTTATTTCCAGTTTTTGAAATAAAATACTTATTAGAATTTTTTTCCTTTTCTTTATTATTCTTGCTTTTACTGGAATAATTTTTAAGCGATTGGATAATTGCAGATTTCATACGTTTATACTAGTTGAAGTTGACCAAAGAAAAGGATCCTGATAGTCAGGTTTTGTGAAGGGTAAGAAGTTTTGAGCTTTACTTTTATGATAGTGTGAAGGCATTTTATGCTGTCTTTAGAAATTTTGTGTATTTGGTATGTACTTTTGGATAAAAAGTACAGTGACTCTCAAATTTGAGTCACTGAATTGGAGTGATTTCTTACATTTGTGATAACATGTGTTGTAATAGTATATAATGTTTATATTGCAAGTACTTAACAGTATACAAACTACTGTCATGTATCTTATTTAAACCTTAAAACAGATAAGGAACCCCATGCTCACAGGGGTTGGGTATATGCTCAGGTAATACTTCTACTTTAGTAACAGTTACTTACCAACAAAAAATGAAACCATGAAATGTGTTATTTTAAGAAGAGATGGTGTTAATACTTTTTGCAAACATAGTAGCTTAAAAGGTTTAACATGCTTGATAACCCTGTTGGAGAATTGTCTTAAGTGATAAGACAATTCTTAGTTGGATAAAGACTTTTTTCCTAGCATTTTAATTATAGGGTTGAATTTGTAGCTTGTAGACTTACCTAGCTTTTGTCTTGAAAAATTGGATTTTCTTCTGGACATCAGTAAAATGAGGGGTCACATATATTTTTTGATTCTCTGACCAGAAAAGTAAGGAAACTCCTTGTCACCATCTCAAAGTATTTGAAGGGAAATGTTCAAGAGGTATTAGACTTTGTCTAAGATGCTGGGGCATATATTTCAGCCTCAGTCTGAGAGAGAGCTCTGCAATGGTAGCCCCCAAACCAAGTGGCAAGTCTCTGTTTTTCAGAGGGACTACCACAAGGTGGGGCTGTGGTAGTCAGGAACCTAGTGCAAAAGCAACAGTAAAACTAAGTTTTATATCTGCCAATTGTGAAATTTATTTAGTTCTTAGTTAAAATTAAGAACCGCTAGTTTGCCACATCAATTTATGTTGAGGTTCGCATGTTCATAATTTGAGGGAAATAATCTCTGAAGAGTATGGGCTGAGATGATTCACCCTATTAATTACATTTTAGAGGCACTTAGTAAATCTAGGATAATAATTATTTTTCTGCATCTTTCCATGTCTGCATCTAAAAACTTCATATTGCAAGTACTTAAAACTATATAATTACTTGAGGGTGAAAAAACTATTGTTAAGATACTGTAGTGTTATCTATGGGATGTTAAATGAGATATGATTTGATTTATCCCTCTTAAAAAGTTTCACCCCTAAAATTTATACATGCTTATAACAATGATAAATGGTCATTTAAACCATTTAGATTTGATAGATAGCCAGTAATGTTAGTTTTAATAATGTAGTTACTATGTATCATAGAAAGTGTCAGTTAATCAGTATTGATTTTGCATAAGTTATTTGAATGTCTACAAAATGTAGCAGATATTCTCATGCAAATTTGATTTGATAATCTAAAAAACCCTTAGTTTTAATTTGAAGTAGTTCACTAAGAAAGCAAGAGAAAAATCGTAGGCTGCACTTAATTGTACTTTATTTGCTCTTATCCCTTCCCCCTTTTAATATTTTATGCTCTTTTCTTGCATTGATTCATTTTTAAACTTTTTGAATCTAAGATGAGTAATGGCATTCTATTTTAAGACTATAGTGCATTGTTCAAAAAATAAAATTATGAAGTTCCAGTATTTAAGGGAAGAGCTCTCTTGATGTCTTAAAATTTAACCTTTTGAAAAAAGTTCCTTTAATTCTTATGTTATCATTAAAATTTTTAACCATTCTTCTTTCAAACTTCAAAAACTAGACAAATCAGTCATGCATCATTTCATTCACTCAGTATGCATTGTACGTCTCTGTGCACCAGGCAATGTGTGCCAGGTTTTAGGATTTGCAAGGTAATCAAGACTTTAGATTTTTTTTAAATCAGTTGAAATTACGGAAGATGTGCTTTTAGCCATGTTTTCCTTGGTGATGGGTGAGCACATTGTCCTAAATGTAGATGTGTTTACTCTTTATCCACCATATCAGAGTCAGCCTTGAATTATATTGGATAAGCGTTCTCTCATGTTGTATGATATTATTTGTATGTGTTTATATGTACTTGGTTAATATGTTTGATTACTAATATATATAATATGTGTGTTTTCCCTCCTATTCCAGGCACCAAATATAGATGAAAAAGTAGATCTTCATTTTATTGCATTAGTTCATGTAGATGGGCATCTCTATGAATTAGGTAAGAACTATTTTAACTTTCTCTGGGTAGAGAAATGGGAAAGTACTTATGATAAATGGAACCGTTAATATGTATTGTTTTTATTTAATAGAATTTCACTGTAACATTGTTGGCATAATGAAAATTTTTTAAGACTTTTTTTACTAGAAAAAGTAGATTTTTTAAATCTTAAAACTGCTTATAATTCAAGAATGTTTGTATATCAACTTTGCATTTTAACAAAGCAGGAAAGTAAAATTCACTATGGTAAATACCTATAAATCATTTCATCAATCTTTGCTAAATTGAGTTAGTTCTCATCAACTTTAGAGAAACCATCTTGATGGGAAAACTAGTTATAAACTCAGTGGAATATTAATGATGACTAATTTTTTGTCTTCAATAATGAATATTACTGGTTTTCAGGATTTTGTACTATCCATTTGTATTTTATCTGGATTTTTATGGGACTTTGTAGGAGTTATGTTTTCTAGTATTGATTCTCTAAGGCAGGTGTGATTAATTAGTTGGTATTTGGCCTATGCCTGTGCTTTTTTTTTTTTTTAAGTTTAACTCTAGGTGGATTACTTTAGGGAGTATTGGAGGAGTTTTAAATGATTCATTCAGACAGAAGAAACTTCTTATGATTCTTTCATAATTGGTATACAGTACTTATTATAAGTCCTTGTTCTTCTCCTGGGACCTTCTTGGCTTAAATAGGCCATATAAAAAAACAAAATAGGTAAGTTTCTTTTCAGTTTTAGATACCATGATTTTAGTCTCTTTCATCTCATTTCTTGTCTACATATTAACTTGTCACTTTTATCTTTGTTAATTAAAGGCAAAAGAGTTCAAAAGGACTCAGATTGTGACTGTAAATGTGGCACATAAAATTTAGATGGATTTTATGCTTAGAACATAGCAGCAGCCTCAAACACTATTAAAAAAAAGTGGCTGTTAAAAACGGGACAAAGAAAGAGCATAGTCTTTCTAGAAATAGTAGAGTGATTTGAGAAGGAATCAAAGTAAAATAAAAAGCAGTCCTTGTTTTGGCAGTATATAACTGATCTGCAGAGCAATTTGGAGGATAAGTTGTGCTGTTCAGTTTCAGAATCTACATTGAGATAAGATGTAATAGTGGTGGTTTCAAATGTTAGACTTATTGCTGGAAGCCAAATTTCTACTCTGAATTTTGAATAATAAATAGCTGAATTAATTTTGAATTAATTGTAAGTGGAAGTAGGGAGAATACTGAGACTTAACCAGATACTTTCTGTTGACATCAAGAAAGTTGTGAGGAAAAGTCAAAGAAATGATAAAGATTCATAATTAGAGGCACCAAATGTGGTGGTGACTTTCAGAATGAGAGACTTACAGAGCAAACAATAAATAACATCTAAAAGCTAATTAGGCCCAAAAAATCTCAGATCAGTTCAATGGGAAGGGAAGAGTTGCCTTAAAAAACTCAATTTTTTCTGGTTAGCTAGCTCTGAGCTGAGAAGCTAAAAGGAAAGTAGAAGAAAAGACATACATCAAGGATACGACACATGACGAATGGTTGTCTTTTGTAGCGTGCCAACATCCACACAAAAGGATTTTAAAATTGATTTGAAGTAGGAACATCAGAAAAGGCAGAACTACTAAGGTCTTGTTTGGATTAAGTATTCTTTAGCAAGATCAATATGGCAGATAGAGAATTAGAGCCCTTTGGGATTTTATTCTTTAAATGAGTTTAAAGAATTTCAGAGTTCTAAAGAATAACCAGTCTTTGAGATGTCATAGAGAACAGGGATAAGTACAAGATAAATGAAGATGGGCAGTTACTGATTTCATTGCAAGCAAAATTGGTGGTAATCCTGATGCAAATTCTAATAAATTTAAAAGGAATGTTGAGCAAGAGGAGTTTTGAGTTAGTGAACAGAGAGCAGCACAAAGTTTTTAAGGGAAGAAGTAATTTCAAAGTAACCTTATTTCTTAAAAAAGTAAACTATATAATTGTAGACATGGTGTAAGTTAATGTCTATAAAGCAATTATTTTAATAAAAGGTTAGTGTTAGTCTTTAATATATTCATTCCACACTAAATTGTAAGGCTAACTGATGAAAGGTTCTGAACTATTCATCTTTTCTTTGTCACCTTAGGGTCTCATGGAGTTTCTGGCATTTGTAGAGGGGGAGAAGTACATATTTTAAAATAGATATAATTATTCTTTATGGCTAAATTAAAGGGATGGGATTTGGAGGTGAATTTAGAACTGATCGAAAAGTCCATTTAAAAAATTGTTAACTGGGCCTCCCCGATGGCACAGCGGTTGAGCGCTGGGTTGCGAAGCTGCCCGCAGCCTCTGCGACGCCGGTTCGATCCCCGGCTGCTCCCCGGCCACTGGAGGAGGGTCCCACATGGCGCGCAGACCTCTCCTGCCGCCCGCTGCTCCCCTCAGCAGTATACTTCGGTCCTTCTGCCTGCTCTGCTCCCCGCTCTGGCTCTGGTGAATTCTCTCACCCTCCCATGCTTCTGATTGTACCCAGTGCATGTATAAACAAAACAAACAAACAAACAAATAAATAAATAAAACATGCCTCTATTAAAAAAAAAAAGTAAAAATTGTTAACTAATAAATTGTCCAGCCCCAAATTAATAGGAATACTTTAAGACATTAAAAGTATTTTTTCTTTGAAATAATTTTTAAAACTTGTGTATAGAACTCCCATAAACCATTCACTCAGATTTCCGAGATTCTGTTAATATTTCTGAACCGTTTAGAAATATATAGCACACATCATTCCCCTTTATTCTTCAATACTTCTGGATCTATCTCCCCAAACAAATGAATATTCTTCATACTTTCAAGATGTAGCAAATGTTCCAGCCCCATATTTTACTTTGCTCCAGCATTTTATTTGGTCATTTTGTTACAGCCCAAACCCTGCAAACCTGCCTATTCTAAATGGGTTCTGCCATCCGCCGCATCAACACAAAACATGAGACTTTAATGGGAAGGAACTTTAATAAAACTAGGAAACAATACAGGAAAGGCAAAGAGTCTAGTTTCTAAATGAAGCACCCAAAGTTACCCGTCCCCTCGTGGGTAAAACTCCATCCGTATGGGATTGGCCCAGAGCAAGGCCCCAAAGCCTGCCACAAGTCTAAAGCATCTTCCAGTGGGGACCCACAGAAAAGGGTCAGAAACAACCAGACAAGCCCGGAAGGAAAAGAGCAAAAATCAAAATCAAGATAAAAGCTGCCATTGTCCCCTCCCCACAGGTCTCACCCACATCTGTGTCATCCAGTCCACGACCAAAAGACAAGCGCAGTTTCTTCATGTGTCTCTAGGCTCCATGTGCCTCCTCCAGGTCTCCTTCTGGCTTCATCCTGCTTCCTTCCTTCCTCAGTCTCCTCTGCAGCCTCTTCTCTTCCTGCTCAGCTCCACCCTCCCTTGGGTGGTTCAGGGAACCTGGAACCTCCCCCTTTCCTGGGGACCACCCTGCTACAATTTCTCTAAGTGTTACAGCGCAGCCCCATGTAAAAACGGGTTGCCTGGCTGTGGGTCCTCACCTGTGCGCTTAAAGGGAACTTATTTATACTCCACTGCAGGCACACACAAAAAGGTTAATAAAAGGTTTATTTACAAGGGAAAGGGAAATGAGGAAATGTACAACTCAGGGAGAAAATAGGGAAATAAAGTCTTAAAGCGTCCTACCCGATCCGCCGACCTGGAAACCCAAAGGCACTCTGAGAGCTGGCCAAGCGCTGCGAGCTGGCGGAGAGTCAAAAAAAGGGAAACCCCCCCCAAAGCCCATGTGTCTGGTTTTATGCCAAACCTGGCTGCTTAACCCCACCCTCAGGTTCCAGCAACCTTCCCTTTGGTGGTGATGGGATTTGTCTTTCCTAGTGTCTTTTGGCTTTGGTCTGGAGTGGGGTGGAGTCCACAAAGCCTGTATGGAATTAGCTCAGGACATCCTTTCCCCTAACACAAGGAACCTGGCTTCTTTTATTAGAAAAAGTTAATTAGAACCAATATCTGGGTGGTAGATGTGCTCATTTGCTGCAAAGATATCTTTGCTTTTAAGCTGTCTGGGAAACATTGTATGCGTTATGCACATGCACTCACACACAAACTTTTGAATATGGATATATACACATGCGATTATATCTGTTTATTGCGATCCCTATATTTAAAAAGCAATGTTTACATCAACACTTCTAACTCTGACCTAACACTCTACAGTTTATTCTAGTGTTCTCCAAATTCGTGACACCCTGTTTTGCGTATCAGCAATCTGGCTCTGATTATCCTTGCTGTATTTTCTTACTTCTCCATTGCCCATGTATGTAAACAAGTTCTTGACCACCCCCACCAGCCTCAAGTTTAGTCCCTGACATCCTGCTCCTTGACCCCACCTGGCACATTGGCTCCTGTAAAGAGTACAGGCTCTCCAGAGTGAGTGGCTACCTTGCTAGTATTATGCAAACTCTAGCCCTCTGCTCTCCTGGAGTGCTGTTGTTTTTCTCTTTTTTCTCCTCCTGTTGAATCTTGCTTGGGGTTCACCTTCCTGCAGTGACTGAAAGCTGGTATTATTGTTGAGTTAACCTCCACCTCTGAGCTACCTATTTCCAATGTCTAAAAACAACTGTTACAGATATTTTGTCCAGGCCTTTAGTTGTTTCCAGTGGGATGCCTAGTCTAATACCAGTTATTACATCCTGGTTCGAGGGGAAAGTTGCCTCAGTACTATTTCTTGACTTCCTACAGTGAAAATAAGGACTTAGCTCTCCTTTGTCACCCTCTTATCTTCTCCCTCCCTCCAGATCCCCAAATATATGCTTTTTCCCCCTATTTTTCCAGTGTCATTGAAGATGTTGTTTACACTCTTATGACCACAGAAACATTCTCAGCTGAACCATAATTAATGTACTTTTTAACTTTTATTTTTTCTAAGTAAATAATTGCCGTTTTGCTTTTTGGTTATTATTATTGTTAGGATTATTTCAACGTATTTAACACTGTGCCTCTCCTAGGCTCTTTTCTCTTCTAAATATCTCAATACATGGGAACCCCTGGCATTCTGTTAACTTGATCTAGGAGAGCTCTCTCCTGGTATCTTCCCTGTTCCCATCCGGGTAGGTTGTGCTCTAGGCCTTGTGCACATTCGTCATAGTGGGCTGCTCTCTCCTTCGTTATATCATCCTGGGGATTCCTTTTGACTCATTCCTCTGTTGAAGCTCCTATTCCTGGATGCATGTCTCCTTCATTCCTTCTTTACTCACTCATTTTTTCAGTATTTCCTTAAGTATATTCTTAAAAGGGGAAAAAGGGAGGGCAGTCCATTTTTGACACCTTCAATATCTGACCTTACAAAGCTTGATTGTGTCTAAGTTCTAGAATGGAAAATAATGTTCTTTTAAAAAATGGCATTAGGGCCTCCCTGGTGGCACAAGGGGTTAAGCATAACACTGTGAAGCTAGCCACAGCCTCTGCAGTTCAATCCCTGGTGGCTGCCAATAGCTTGATAGTGATGAGATTTAACCCCTTGTGCCACCAGGGAGGCCCTGTGATTGCTGTTTTTTAAGCATCATGTCATAGGTTGTCCTCAGATATCTGATAATACTTGACACTGGACTTTCCCTACCAAAAAGCATTTTGTGTTGTGGTATTTGTGGTGTCTCTTGGAGTCTTGTCCTCAAACTGCCTGAAAAAGGCAATTTCTGAATGAATTGGTTAGACACTGCCAAGGGGCAACATGTTGTATTCTTTCCTGTACAAATTATAAGTGGTGCATTTAATCCAGGAATGCAGGGTTACATGGCTCATATGCAAGGCGCAGCTTTCCCCTGCTTCTCTAAGAGGGTGCATGTATGACAGTTCCTGAGCTGCATAGAGTCTTCTTCTGGATGTGCATTGACTTAAATTGAACCCAAAGCTGTTGGGAAATAGCAATTTTCTGGTAGTTGTGGTTGGAACAGTGGCAGGGTTCAGATGTTGTCTTGGCAAAGTTTTTCGGTGAAGGGCCCAGTACTAAATATTTTAAATTTTGTGGGCTACCTACTTTTCTTTAGCATCCCTCCCCCTCTTTTTTCTCTTCCTCCAGCTTCTCCTCCTTTCCCCTTCTTTTTCTTTCTCCTTTCTCATTTTTAAAATCATAAAAACCATTCTTAACTTACAAGATAAAAAAAATAGGCCAGGGTGGATTTGACCAACAACTGTAATTAGCCTATCTCAGTATTAGAATAACAATAAAATCATAATTAATCATTGTTCTGAACTATTTCTATAACAAAATAGTATACATTTCATTTTGTTTATATTGTGTTGACATTTCAAGATTGTTTAATAACTTTAGTCTGTAATAACATTGTTTGAAATTAATACATTAAACAACAGCAGCTTATGAAGAAAAATCACTCATTAGAGCTTATTAGTTCACCAGAAAATATATGTTAGTTTAGAATTTGCTTAAGAAGGGACTCTTCATTGTTTATTTAAATTTTTGCTTTTATTTGAGAATTGAAAGATAAAACAATATAAAACGGGGCAACACATTAATAGCCTCTTATGATTGTAGATGAAATAAGCTATTAAGGATAAGCATCTTCCACAAAAGGATATTATTATGTTTCATGATATGTTAGTGAGATACATACATTGCAGTTTAGAACAATTATATAAATTCATAGAAATGTGAATAACTAAGTGTTCCCTTATAAATAGAAAAGTATTTCTTCTATGGTTTTTACGAGCTTTAGGAGTTATGTCCCAAACACATTAATTTAGTATTTCAAATATCTTTAATGTTAGCACAAAAATGAGGATCACAAATTCTGATGATAGAACTTATATCACATTTTGAGTGTTAATTTTCACTCATATTTTTCTTTGAAAGTAGTATTTATCAGTTCAAGTCAATCACTGTGTGTGTGTGTGTGTGTATGTGTATATTTTCAAACTTTTTATTATGTTTGGAAGACATGGTGTTAATACCAAAGGTTGTGTTTTGTGGAATGAACTTGATGAAGTACAATTTAAAAGACATCTGGGATTATAGATTGGATATAGAGCAAAATAGTAGTTAACGCCAGGTTAGCGTGAGTTTATATAACTCTGGACATTTTCCTTTTCTCCATAATATTGGGAAAGTATTTATAATCACAATGTGATTGTAATTGTGGCTGATTACTTTTTGTGGTCAGTAAAATAATGCTAGCTATATTACTGCTTTTTGGTGGAACACAATTAGTAGTGGGAACAGTTAAATCTATGGTGGCTCCTTTCTTTGGTGTAAACCTGTCAGTCTTATGAGCCTTCTGATGTAGCTATTAAAGTGAAGAAAGATTTTTTTTTTAATATTTATTTTATGCATACAAGAACTGGGGTACAGGCCAGAGGTGTGAGGGATGAGAGGATTCACCAGAGACAGAGTGGGGAACAGAACAGGCAGATTGACTGAAATACGCTGCTGAGGGGAGCAGCAGGCAAGTAAGGAAAGGTCTGTTGCGCCATGTGGGTAGCTCCATGGCCAGGGATTGAACTCGTGCTGCATTGGCTGCAGATAGATTCATAGGCTGTGTCTTAACCCCTTGCGTCACCATGGAGGTCCGAAGAAAGATATTTTTCATAGCTGTCAAGGTAAAAACTGGGGTCCTAACTTTTTAAAAGCTAACTCTTGCCAGTTTCGTATATTCTTTCTAGAAAATTAAAGAATATTTTGGATAAATTCTGTATATGAAAACAAATTAGACTTTCAAATATGGAAACAAGGGTATAATAACTTTTAATTTAAAAAAATATTAGTAGTTAGCACATTTAATATATTGTTTTAGGATATATTGTTTTAAATACCTTTTCTTGCCTCACTGTGGAAAGAGGAAAATGGAAGTTGAGAGTGCATTATCCTGTATTAACAATTAAGCATTCATCTGTTTGTCTACTTTCCACAGATGGACGGAAACCATTTCCAATTAACCATGGGGAAACTAGTGATGATACTTTATTAGAGGTAACAGTGAACCTTGTGCGCCCACTTTCAGTATTTTTAATGTTCTTGTTATCTTTAAAACATCTTCAGAGATTGCTCTTGTAACATTTCCACTGCATTTAGATGCTTCTTTGTCCTTACTCTTTAAAAAATAAAATTTAAAAAGAAGAACTTGAATTATAAAAGTCCCTGAATTAGTGTTAAAAAATCCATAGCAAATAAAGAAGTTTTAGGAATTCTGTATTTGTGTGAATAAGTAATCAATCTGAAAAAGACAAGTCATATTGAAGAGTTTACTTCATATCCCATATTTCATTGACTCCAAGACACCATCATTTATCATTTATATCTTGATTCTGATTCTGAACAAATAAAATATATTTGTTTCAGGTTTAAAGTTTCCTAAAAGCATTTTAAGAAAGAACACTTATGGTCCCATATACCTTTGTATGAAGCAAATTGCATCAACCATTCATCCTTAAGATCGTACTAGAATAATTTTTCATTTGAAAGATGTCTTCAGTATAAAGCTAGTATATATGTGTTGGAAAAATATAAAATATATATTGTCTTTTGTAAGTAAAACACATGCCTATAAACTGAAAAATTATACTTTTTTTTCCCCTTGTAGGATGCCATAGAAGTTTGCAAGAAGTTTATGGAACGTGACCCTGATGAATTAAGATTTAATGCGATTGCTCTTTCTGCAGCATAGCTTGTCAATAATGAAAACACCAAATACTGTATTATTTGCAACAAAAATTAAATTTCTGCTGCCATACACTAATGCAAAACTTTTGATATTTTCATTAACTTGACTGATTAAACTTTATGTGAATTAAACTTTGACTTAATTTGTGTTTCCTACTTTTTTGCCTCAAATTAAAACTGCAGTTCTTTCCTTCCCTTTCTTGTGGAGGATTTACCTTATTTGATGATTAGCAATAGCTTTCTTGTCTTCAAATTTCATGGGAGATCATGTATTTGGATACAGACATTATTGCTATGTACATAATATGAATATAATCTTTTATATGGTAACATTTACTTAGCAAGTATTTGTTGAGTATATACTTGTAATGAACTGGATGTTGTTCTAGGTGCTGGAATTATAACAGTGACTACTGTCAACAAGGTCCATAGTCATGGAGCTTATGTTCTTGTGAGAAGAGACTAATAACAAGCACATTAATTAGACATTAATTAGACACATACCAATGATGAGTGCTATGCAGAAAATTAAAATAGAATTTGTGTTAGAGAGTGACTTAGTGGATACTTTTATAGTCAGATACCCCTATGAGGGGTAACTCTAAATTCTGAATACCAAAAATAGGCAATCAGAAAGGTGGAGGGGAAGAGTAGAGGAAATAGCTAATGCAGAGTCCTTAAGGTGAGAAAATCTCCATGCTTTGAGGACCAGAAGGATGTTTCATATGACTGAAATATATGGACAAAGTAGCAAGAGATGACATCAGAGAAGGAGGGGTGGGCTTAGTGATACAGGAATATAGAAAAAGCATTTGGATTTATTGCAGGTGTGATGGTAAGCCATGAGGGGCGGGGTTATACAGGAGAGTGACTTGATTTGATTTATAATTTTAGAAAATCACTCTGACTACTCGTGGATAACTTGGGGAAGGGTTGGAAGAACAGAAGTAGACTTGAGGAGTCCACTACATTAGTTCAGCAAGAAATGGTGATGGCTTGGTCTTAAAAGTGGTAGTAATTTACATAAAATAATGTGAATTGGGGTATTTTGAAGGAAGGGCTTCAGTTGATAGATGGAAGTCGAGGCAGTGGAAAGGAGAAAGGGTGTTTGTTAGAGATGGGTCAGAATAGTTGGTGTAAGTCAGTCCTAGGTCTCTTGGGGAGGGTACTAGTTACACAGGTCTATACATTTGTGAAAACTCATGGAACTATATATTTAATATCTATACTTCATTGATAAACATTTTACCTCAAAAAAAAAAAGGCAAAAACATAGTTGGGTTGGATTATTGCAGGACCAATATTATAGATGCTTAAACATGAATCACAGAATTAAAGATTTCTGAGGCTGCCAACAGGAGATAAGTGGTATTTTAGGAAGTGTAACAGGATAGTGACTTGTAGACTGGATTATTAGATCTTTGTTACTCAAAGTCTGGTTCTATCAGCATTACCTGGGGACTTGTTAGAGAATAAGAATTGCAGGTGTGACCTATTAGTTGTGACCCAAGACCTCTTAGAACCTGCATTTTTAACAAGATCCTGGGGCTATTCATATGCACGTTAAGTTTGGGAAGTCCTAGATTAACAATAGACTCTAAAGAGGAAGGTCAGTTTAGATGATAGTATAATTTCCCATCATTCTATGGTAAAGAGGGCCTGAATGAAATGATGGCATTAGCAATGAGGAAATTAATCTGAAACATTTTGATAATCGTGTATGCAGATGATGCTTTTGTCCAGCCAATAAAAGCAATCAAATGTTCTACTCTTTTGTTAAATTATTTGCATTTTATACTCACATCTACTTTGTATATCTTGAAGGTGTTCAATATTCCTAAGCAGCCTTGTGCTTGTTGCCTTGTTGGATTTCTCCTGTATAATTTCATTATAGATTCTTAATGGCATATTACTGAGAATTTAGTTTCTCAAAATTTCCTATGATGAATACTAACTTTGCAGACTGTTAATGGACAAGTACTTGAAAACACTGAGTTTAAGTTAAGTTAAAAAAATTAGTTATATGTGTTATGAAAATTATTCTCTGTTAACATTCCTGTTGCAACATTTAAGGCTAGCATTCTTTTGTATACACTGAAGGGTGACAGTCCCTTATGGAATACACAGCTTGAAGATTTCTGTCTCCCATCCTAGATTTGTGTCTAGGATTCTGGTTCTATTTCAACTCTATTTCCCATAACACTTTGATTATCACTTTCTTGAAACTTAGCACTTAGGGAAGTTTGATAATGGTTTACTTTGCATGGAAACTTAGAGATACTAAGGCTCATCAAGTTGTGGGTCATTCCGACATATTGCTGCTTATGACCGTAATGTAGAACTGAAACTTCGAATGTGTTTGCTTGGTGGACTTTAAATATCACCTTTCACCCATGTAACAGTTTGCTTTAAAATTAATAAGACAGGGGCTCCCCTGATGGCGCAGGTGGTTGAGCGCTGCGCTGTGAAGCTGTCTGCAACCTCTGCAGCGCGGGTTTGATCCCGGCTGACCGGCGAGGGTCCCACATGATGCGGCAGACCTCTCCTGTCGCACCTGCTGCTGCCCTCATCGTATATTTCAGTCAGTCTGCCTGTTCTGTTCCCCGCTCTGTCTCTCGTGAATTCTCTCACCCTCCCGTGCCTCTGGCCTGTACCCCAGCTCTTATATAAATAAATAAAAATAAATCTTAAAAAAAATTAAATTAAATTAATAAGACAGGAATGTTTATGAACCCCATGTATTTAACCCCTACTATTTTTCATGTTCATTTGTGACTAAAACAGAAGTTACCTGTATTCTATGGCAAATCAAACTTTAATGTCTTAAAATATTTTTAATTATGTATAACATTTAAATATTTGATTTAAATTAATTCCATCTTCAATTTGTATGCAGGGCTTATTAAGTAGAGCTGTGTATAACATACAACCTGCCTATTTAATTTAATGAAAATAATACAGTTTAAGACATATTTTAGCCACTAATGTTTGTCTACTACTATAGCTTCCAAAAGAAGCATTTACCTGCTCTTATATTGCTGTTTGTAAGAAAATTTGAAAGAGGCATATTTTCACCACTTTTTAAAAAGTTGTATTTATAGAAGCAGTTTTTTTAGGGAAAACTTACATAGGCTGTAGATATATGTTGCCTATATACGTAGATGCACATATATATACATACATGTATATATGTGCACACACATACACACACATCCATACCTTGAATAGGTAAATAACTTTGCTTTAAATTATCTGTGTATTAATTGAGTCCTTGACTGAAGTTAAAATAAAGCCACTCTGAAAAGTGTGTAAAAGGTTTTTAGATCTAATTTAGGATCTTTATACACAAAGTTTAATAGTTCAATGTTTTTATAAGATTCTCTGGTCAGATCTTAAAATAAAGTTCCTGTGCTCTCAACAAATTACTACTACTGTCCTATAACACTACTAGAAATCAAGTGTGGAATATGCTGAGTTATCTGAAAGCTGAAAAAAATTTTGCCATTTTCTTTGCTTCTTTTGATTTTAAAATTTGACCTAAAGTGCATAAATTATTGTGATGTAGAAAATTCAGCATTTTGAAGGACACTTATTTTATGGGTGCCAAGGGTGCTAGTAGATCAGACTAACCCAATATTCCTTAGTTTCATGTGTATCTGTCTTGCTTTGCTTTTGAATAAAAATTACTTTAAATCTTTTTCTTGACTTCTTTGTTTAGGATAGAGGTTCCAAACCTGTCTGTTGCTTCCATCTACTTGGTAGGTGAGAGACCCCAGTATGAAATTTCATAGTCCACTCCTAGATGTTATGTGGGAGTTATATAGACAATAAAGGCTAATTGGGTATTAATTATCTGTGTTTTTTTTTTTTTTTTTTAATAAATTTTATTGTTATATTCCCCATACAATTGCAGCCCCCCATTCTGACCCCAATCCCTCCCCTCCCACCCCGCCCCCCTAAAAGTGTCTCTGGTTCATAGTTTTTTGTTGATTTTGATTTTCACTTTCTTATAGTTATTCATTTTCCTGGTCCCTTATTTAAGTTTTCTAGATTCCTGCTATGAGTGAGACCATCCGGTATTTTTCTTTTTCTTTTTGGCTTATTTCGCTGAGCATGATCCCTTCCAGCGCCATCCATGTTGCTGCAAATTGCATGTGTTTATCTTTTTTGAATGCTGAGTAATATTCCATGGTATATATGTACCACATCTTCTTGATCCAGTCATCTACTTTTGGGCATTTGGGTTGTTTCCAAAGCTTAGCTATTGTAAACAGTGCTGCTATAAACATAGGGGTGCAGGTGTTCTTTGGAATTGATGTTTCTGTGTCCTTTGGGTAAATACCTAGGAGTGGAATTGCTGGATCATATGGAAGCTCTATGTTTAGTAGGTCCAGAAATCTCCATACAGCTTTCCACAGTGGTTGGACCAGTTTGCACTCCCACCAACAGTGCAGAAGAGTTCCTTTTTCTCCACACCCTCGCCAACATTTGTTGTTGCTAGTTTTTTTAATATGTGCCATTCTCACTGGTGTAAGATGGTATCTCATGGTAGTTTTGATTTGCATTTCCCTGATGACAAGTGATGTTGAACATTTTTTCATATGCCTGTTGGCCATTTGCATTTCCTCTTCAGAGAAGTTTCTTTTAAGCTCTTCTGCCCATTTTTTGACTGGATTATTTTCTTTGTTGTTGTTGAGTCTCATCAGCTCTTTGCAGATTTTTGTGATCAGTCCTTTATCATTAGTGTTGGGTGCAAAAATGTTCTCCCAGTTGGTGGGGTTTCTCTTTGTTTTTGTTATTGTCTCTTTTGCTGTGCAAAAGCTCTTTAATTTGATGTAGTCCCAGCTGTTTATCTTTGCCTTCACTATCACTGCTTTGGGTGATGTGTCTGTAAAGATGTCTTTGATGTGCAAATCACGTAGTGTTTCGCCTATATTTCCTTCTATATATTTTATGGTTTCAGGTCTTATGTCTAGTTCTTTAATCCATTTTGAGTTGATTTTTGTGTATGGTGTGAGGTGGTGGTCAAGCTTCATTCTTTTGCATGTAGCGACCCAGTTTTCCCAGCACCATTTATTGAACAAACTTTCTTTGCTCCAATGCATATTCTTTGCTCCTTTGTCAAAGATTAG